TTGCAATAAGGCAGAATCAACTCAATTACAGGAGGTCATGGGAGAGAAAAGAAACTGAGAAAGTCTGACGTGGACCCCACCTAACTTTATAGCCTCCACTTTGTTTTTATTGTTGTTGTTAGGTGTCATCAAGTACGACTCATAGCGACCCTGTGAACAAAGATCTGTATCCCGTTCTATCCTGTGCCATCCGTCTTACATCTCTCCAAATGGGTTTTTTTCTTCCAATGTATAGCTTGCTTTTCCTCTTTGCTGCCTGACAAGTATTTGTGAGAGAGCACCCCTCTTCTTCAAATATCTCAGCCCTCGCCTGGGTGAGCCCCTTTTGCTGTGACTAGCCTTTGGGGGTTCCCCTCTGGTGGGGCCCTCACGAGTCATTTCGCTCTTCTCCGGGTGGGTTGGGGTGTGTGTGTGTGTTTGCAAGCGCTGCGCTGTTTGCTCTGCTGGCAGGAGTCTTGGTGGCTGTTGGTGCCCCCTCTTTGTGGGAGGAGTTTGGTGGTGTGAAGAGAGGAGGGTGTGAGGCTGTCTTGGGGTTGGGGGGCGGGGGAGAGTGGGTGCCTTATCAGCTCCTGTCATCTCAACACTGACCTGGGCTGCAGGCTGCCCTTGGCTGCATAGCTGTGAGGCTCAGCTGCTGTCCTCATGCTTGCTTTGGGGCGTAGATGAGTGTTCCCTGGGAACAGCGGGGAGAGGATGTCCCTCTGGAGGTCACACCTGGGCAGAGGTGTCCACCCTCTCCTGGTCTTCTCTTGGGTCTGTGCGGCACCCCAGTCCACAGAGGTGGGCGTGGGCCTGCTGCTCTGCACACACATCCTTTTTGCGGTTTTAAACCTGCAGGACAGCCCCATTCTTCTTTCGGCTTCCGCCTGGGTGACACCCTGCTCCCCTGGCTTGGATGTGTGTCCCCTGCAGCTGGAATGGCTGCACCTTTTTATGCCTTTTCTGCCCTCAAAGCAGGACGAGGGGTGTCTTCGCCGTTGCCCTGTTCCTTCCTGTTGGGGAGAACACTATGTGCCAGTGAACATGGGGCTGGCAGCCAGCTGACCTGGGTCCTCTCCTCACGTCTCTGGGCTTCACCTTCCCCGTCTTTTGCAGAGTGGAGCTGGCTCTTTGGAAATGCCCTGCGCATGTCCAGCATGGGAGCCATCAGCTGCCGTTGGCTGCGGAGCCCTTGAAATATGACTAATGCGGGGAGGAACTAAAGTTTGAATTGAACGGAATCTTAATGAATGCAGATGGCTGCTTGTGGTTCGTGACTAGGGCCCTGGATGGCACAGATGCTTTTGCTGGGTTATTATTCAAAAGGTTGGTGCTTTGGACCCACGCAGCAAGCCCCCCAGCAGACAGGCCTGGTGATCGTGATCTGCTCTGTAGATACTGCTGTTTGTAGTGCCATAGAATCAGCTTTTGATTCCTGAGGACCCTGTGTGCGTCAGGGTAGACCTGTTCCAGAGTTTTTCATGTCCTGTCAGAAGGAGACCATTAACCAGGCTTGTCTTCCTGGGAGCTTCTGTTGTGTTGTTAGGTCCCATCGCATCAGCTCTGACACGCAGCGACCTCGCTTATGACAGGACAAAACTCCGCCCAGCCCTGCTGGTCCTTACAATCTGTCTTGTGCTTTAAGCCCATTGTTGTAGCTGCTGTGTTGACCCATCTCCTTGAGGGTCTTCTCCAGGTGGGCTTACATAGCCAACCTTTTCTGATAGAAGCCGAGCTGTTCTCAATTTGCATCACCAGGGACTCTGCTGTAAATTTTCCAGCCAAGAATGGGTCTCCATGAGTCACAGTCAGCTCCGTGGCAGTGGGTTTTGGGCTGTTTTGTTTTCTTTCTTTTTTTTTTTTCTGTGGCTACCATGCTGGACTGCATAGCTTAGGGGCCTTTTCTCTGAACTCTGAAAGCTGGTGACTCACAGCTCCAAAGATCTTTCTTTGGGTAACAGCTGGGCAGAGCCCCCAGCTTCAGGGAAACCTTGGGTGGGAATGTGGGAGACTTGCATGGGAGGAGGGGGGTTCATCTGGGTCTAGAATGGGTTCTTCGGGGTGGGGGAGAGAGAGTTTGGGGTTCAAATGCAGAAGATGGGCTCCAATCCCCCATAGGCACCTCTCCCCTCAGGCTCAGGACTGAGAGTCTCTCCTGCTGTGCCAGGCTGGTTTCTGGGGCATCCCAACTGGCCAGGATGCCAGTCAGTTGCCTGCCAAGGACAAGGACTACTGTTCTCCCAGGATCTTGGACCCCTGTTCTGAATGGCCTTCTTGCTCCTCAGAAAGCATGGGGTCCAGGAGGTGGTAAGCCCTTCCGAACTCCTGGGTACTCCTGGCCTCTCTCAGAGATGGTGAGGGAAGCAGATGGTGTATCCTGCCCTGGCGCCCCAGCCCCTCTGGCACCAGGATCCGGCCCCATGAGGCACTCTGTCGATGAGCTTTTAGGCGTGACCCTCTCTGAGCATGTCTGGAGCTGTTGCGGCCACCGGTGACTCACTGGAGAAGGAGGGAGGGTGGGGCTGAGATGTGGGCGAGGGTGAGCTGGCTCTCTCTCCTGCTGGCTCAGCACCAAAGGGGCCCTGCTGGAGGAGGAAGAGGGGGGTGCCAGGGCCACCGGTGGCCCAGTGCTCCGCAGAGAGGCCCCCAGGCTGGGAGCGCCCCTCCCGCCCTGCCCCTGCCCTGCTCCTTGTGTGCAGGGCTGGTCTCTCAGAGCTGGGTTTGCCTTTGCAGCTTCAGTGGGAACGGGTCAGCGTGACTTCCTCGCCAGCCTGTGCAGAAGGGAGGAGCGGCTTGCTCTCACCTGTGCCAACAGACCACTCACCTGGGTTGACCAGGAGGCACCTGCTAAATGCCCGCGTTGTGAGCACAGGTGGCGGTCTAGGTGTTTTCCTCGCACTGTGTTGCGTTAGGTCTGAGGCTGTAACTGCCGAAGGCCCATGAATTGCCAGAAGATATGGCCCTATCCTTAGCAGCAAACTCAGCACCTTCGAAACACCATTAGGTTTCGTTTGCTCGGAAGGTCCCTGAGCCTCTGGAATGTTCTGAGGCGGGTGGTGCACACCCAGATCATCTTGCCCATAATTTGTATCTGGGGCAGTCTCCGTATCACCAGTATTTGGCACATGGAGGGCATTCGGCAGTGTGGGAAGGTGGCAGGATTTAGGTAACAATTTACCGCCGTGTGTAATTAAGCGCGGGCTGCGCTTGTCTTTCTGCTGTCTCCACATCGCCCAGCACAGGGCCTCCCAGAGGCCACCAATATGCATTCATTTATTGATTGGTGACTAATTTTGAAGCGTAAACAGCTCTGGGGTGGGGCCTTGGGTGGGGTTCCCCCACAGATCCTTTGGCGTGCTTTGAGGTGATGCTGCCACCACCGTTTTATATGGGTGGCTGTGGTCAGTGGTCATGTCCGCAGCAGCTTGGTGTCATCCCAGGGTGCTTTTGCACCCTGTGTCTGGGGTGGGCCTGCATCTGGGGGAGGGAGCGCAGCTCAGGGCCCAGCTGGAGGAGCCAGATAAGCCATGATTCACGCCGTCCTGAGGGGGGCTCAGCTCTGCTCCGTCTTCTGAGCTGAAGGAGCAGGTGGGGCTGACGCTTTCCCTCAGTTGAGCCATTCATTGCCTGTGACAGGGCTTCTGGAGTTCCTGGCTGGCAGGGCCCCTGTCCTGGGCTCTGTTAGACAAGATGACCCTGAGTCACTCTTTGGCAGGGAGAGAGGACACTAGTCGCTTGCTTCCGGGTCCTCCAGCTGCCCCCTATGCTGGAGACCCCCCCATAGGAGGCCCCACACGTGAAAGACGGCAGACATGGTCGGGGATCGGGGAGAGTTACGCACGTCACTGTCCTCTTGTTGTGTGCCCCGGGCACGCTGGCCTCCGGGATCCTGAGTCTTCATCTGTGAGATGGGGACAGTGACATTGGTTTAGAGTCATGGTTAATGCCCTTGGCTGCTAACTAAAAGGATAGACCTTTGAGCTCAGGCAGGGATGCCTCAGAAGAAAGGCCTGGCTATCTGCTTCTGAAAAATCAGCCGCTGTAAGCCCCGTGGATCTCTGCTCTCCCCTGACATGTGGGGTCAGATGAGGTGGACTTGATGTAGCAGCAGCTGTCATTTTTGGGTATCAGTGTCCTGAGCCTGTTGCAAAGTCTCTAAGGGAGGTTGTACTTTGTACTCGCATGAGCTGGCCCTTTGCACACACACACGCCCTGCGTCTCCTGACGGGAGGGAAGCCCTCTGTCCTCTTCACAGATGAGGAAAGAATGGCTCAGAGGAGCTCAGGGACTTGGCCAGGGACTTGAACAGGGTCACACTGTAGCTGGAGGCGGCAGAGTCAGGATTCGAATCTGAGTTTGGCCTTTTCCGTGAAGTGGAGCCAGAGGGTCATGGCAGGAGCAGCTTGGCTGGGGCTTGCTGCAGTCTGGCCTGGGGCCTGGAGCTTTCAGCTGTGTCCTGGTTAGGGCTGGGGTCTGGCCTGGGGGATGGAGCACTCCTAGGTGGCAGCTGGGCAGGGTTTCTAGCAAGATGACTGTCCACGTGACTGTCCTTGTGAACTTTCCTCTAGGCTGTGTGACGGAGATTCCAGAGGACAAGAGAGACTGAAAGGAAGAGAGGAAGGAGGGGCGGGCTCCTGGCAAGGCATTCGCTCCTGAAGGAACTTCGCGGAAGGTCAGTAGGAGGGACGCTGTGATGTGGGCTGGAGGGGACGCAAGTATGGGGGGTGGACACCATGTGCACTGGGAGGCAGGCCTGGGGCAGGAGGGAGGTGGTTCTGGTGACCTCCAGGGCCGGCTTCATCGACTCTGTCCTCTCCACATGCTGTGCGTGCCCTGGAGAACTTGGACAGTGGACTGACGTGAGATGGGCTGCCTGGCCCGGTCCTGCCCCTCAGCACCCCCACATCGAGCCCCTTACCTGGTGCCCTCCTCGCAAACCCACAGTGCTGAGACCCGGCCTGCTCTCTGCTAGCACCTGCCCATCCTCTGCATCCTGACTCAGTTTCCTTGCTTTGCCCCAGATGGAGAAGGAGGAGGAGACCACCCGGGAGCTGTTGCTGCCCAACTGGCAGGGCAGCGGCTCCCATGGGCTGACCATCGCCCAGCGGGACGATGGCGTCTTTGTGCAGGAGGTGATGAGGAACTCCCCTGCGGCCCGCACTGGGGTGGTCAAGGAGGGTGAGTCTCCGTGGGCTGGCTGTGGGGGTGGGTGTGTCAGGAAGAGTGAAGGTGGTGAGGTGAGGGCCAAGTGGGGAGCAGGCAGGAGCGGGCTAGTGACTGGAAGGAGGTCCCCAAACCCAATCCTCCATTGCCCTCTCCTTATCCCTCCTGACTGGTCCTGGGGGAGGTAAGGGGGAGAAGGAACACGGGGCCTCTTGAGTGCACCCGAGTTCTGATCTACCAGGCACTAGCTCTGTGGCTTAGGGAAAATTATTTGGCTTCTCTAGGCCTCGGCATATTCATCTTTAAAATGGGCATCATCACTCTTGGCTTGCAGGATAGGCTCCCTGGTAGTGCAGTAGTTAAAGAGCTCAGCTGCTGACTGAGAGGTTGGTGGTTTGAAGTCACCAGCGGCTCCTCCCGGAGATTATACTCCCATAGATTACACTCTTAGAAACCTGATTTTGTAGGTCTACGTGGTCCTATAGGATGGCTATGGGTCGGTACTGACCGATGGCCATGGGTGTGGATTTTTTCTTGCAGAATAAAGAGAAAGCAGTTGAGTTCTGACTTACATTGTTATGTGCCACCTAGTTGACCACGACTCTTAGTGACTATGCCTGCCTAACAGCTCTGATCCCTGCCCTGTCCTGAGCCAATCTGTCTCTGACACAACTAACCCCATTACCCCAGTTACTGTGCTGATCTATCTCAGTCGGGGTCTTCCTCTCCTCCACTGACCCTCCACCCTTATGAACATGATGTCCTTCTCCAGGGATTGGTTCCTTCTGGCAACGTGCCTCACGTGTGTCAGACAGAGTCTCAAAATCCTTGCTTCAAAGGAGCAGCTTGGTTTCTGCTTTACCCGCAGAAGGTCCTGGGTTCGAGCCTCAGTGCAGCCATGGAGTGGCTTCTGAATAATAGCAATCTTATAGACAGGGTAGAGTTTCCCCATGGAGTTTCTGAGGTGAACCTGTAAACTTTTGTGGGGAGAGACAACCCTGTCTTTCTCCCTCAGAGCTGCTGGTGGATTCCAGTCTCCAACCTTTCAGAGATCAGCTCAGCTCTGGTGCCATAGGCCTGGGAGTGAAGTTAGCAGGCGCTTGAGGGCCGAGTATGTGGTGGTTGTGTGTGGCTTCTCTGAGCTCCTCTGAGCACCCATGTCTTGCACCTCCCTGCACAGGGGACCAGATTGTGGGTGCCACCATCTACTTTGACAACCTGCAGTCGGGTGAGGTGACACAGCTGTTGAACACCATGGGACATCACACCGTGGGCCTGAAGCTGCATCGCAAAGGCGACCGCTCTCCTGAGCCTGGCCAGACCTGGACCCACGAAGTCTTCAGCTCCCGCAGCAGCTCGGAAGTGGTTCTGGTGAGTTTCCGCCCTGCGCCCCGAGCGCCCCCACTTCGTGGCACATCAGCCTGCTACCCTGCTGCCTGAGGCCTCTGCGCGCCTGCTTGGGCCTGTCTTATAATGCCTTCTCTTCCTTTCACCACTCTGCACTCTCCTGAGCCTTGGCCGACCTGTTTGTTCGTCTTCTGTGGCATGTGACTGATGTGCCCTCGAGTCTTCCGGTAGCCCAGCTGTCCGGCCATGTGGTGGGAGGCCTGGGCGTAGATGCCAGGAGAAGGGCGGTTGCTTTTTGGGAATCTTTGAAATGATCCCAGGTGCCCCACGCAGCCTGGCGGACACCGTCTCCTCCTGGCCAAGGCCAGGAGTCATCCTGTGAGTCAGAGGCTGGGCAGCCGAGCGGGGCATTCTGCCTACGGGCGGGGGGGGGCTGTGCCCTGCTCCTCCTCTCCTGGCTTGTTTATTTAACAAATAATGGAGCTTCAATGTCAGCTGTTGACTGAAGCACACCCAGTTTCTCAAATGCTTGAGAGCTGCCAAGGGCTCTGGGGAGGACGCTCCCCCCAAACAAACAGTGAGGTGGGAGTTGAAGGGTCAAGTCGGCATGCTGCTCCCAGCTCGCTGCTTGTTTGTTTATTAGAGAGGAAGGGAGTCCTCCCAGGAGCTTGCTGGCCTGGAGGGTTCCTGGGACTCACGAGAGGCCTAGTTGACTCTATCCTAAGTTCGCAACACAGTTTCGGCGTTGATACGTTCTTCTAGCTACATGGTTTCTGCATACCAGAATTTCGCCCCCTCCCCATAATCCGTTTCTCTCCTGTGACCTTGGCTGTCAGTCCTTGTTTTCTGTCCCAAGAAGAAGCTTTGTGGACCTCTTGTTACGGTCCCAGCTTCTCCAGGAGACAGGCAGCTGTGTTGTTGTCTGGGCTGTGGCCGGGGTGCCTGGTGATCCAGGCCGGCTTGGCTGCAACCTCTGCCGGTGCGTGTCTTTCTGCAGAGCGGGGATGATGAGGAGTACCAGCGCATCTACACCACCAAGATCAAGCCTCGGCTCAGGTCGGAGGACGGAGTGGAAGGGGCCTCTGGGGAGACCCAGAGCCGCACCATCACGGTGACCAGGAAGGTCACGGCCTACACCGTGGATGTGACAGGCCGCGAAGGTGCCAAGGACATCGACATCAGCAGCCCTGAGTTCAAGATCAAGATCCCCAGGCAGGAAGTGACTGAGATCTCCCGCGTGGATGTGGAGAGCCAGCCCGGGAAGACTGTGATCCGACTGCCCTCGGGGGCGGTGTCTCCAACCACAGGCTCCACTGTGGACATCAGAGCAGGGGCCGGGGCTGCTTCAGGCCCAGAGCTCCAAGGCGTTGGCCAACCGAAGCTCCAGGTCACTGCACCTGGGATAAAGGTGGGAAGCCCGGGTGTTGATGTCAGTGTGAAGGGCTTGGACTTGGGTGGCAAAGGAGGCATCCAGGTTCCGGGAATGGACATTTCATCTTCTCATGGGGGCGGCTCAGTCAGTGTGCAGGGCCCCACCCTTGAGAGTGGAGGCAGTGGGGAAATTAAAATCCCCACTCTGAAGATACCCAAGTTTGGTGTCTCGACAGGGCCCGAGGGCCAGGCCCCGGAGGTAGGGCTGAATGTTTCTGCACCCGAGTTTTCTGTGGGGCACAAGGGCAGCAAGCCAGGGCTGACCATTGGTGGGAACATCCAGGCCCCCCAGTTAGAAGTCAGTGCTCCTTCGGCCAGTATGGAGGGCCTGGAGGGGAAGCTGAAAGGCCCTCACATCACTGGGCCATCCCTTGAGGGTGACCTGAGCCTGAAAGGTACCAGACCACAGGGGAGGATAGACATCTCTGTACCCAAAGTTGAGGGCAGTGTCACTGGACCCCGTGTGGAGGTCCAAGTCCCTGATGCTGATATTCAAGGACCAGGGGGCAAACTGAATATGCCCAAGATGAAAGTCCCCAAGTTCTCCGTGTCAGGTTCCGAGGGAGGAGCTGCAGTTGACGTGACACTGCCTACAGGTGATGTGACTCTTCCTGGGGTCTCCGGGGATGCCAGCCTGCCTGGGGTGACCCCTGGTGGTCTGGAAGGGAAGGTGAAGAGTGCCCACGTCAAGACTCCCGAGCTGATTGTGCAGAAGCCTAAAATCTCCATGCAGGATGTGGACCTGAGCCTTCGGTCTCCCAAACTGAAAGGAGACATGAAAGTTTCTGCACCTGGCCTACAAGGTGATGTCACTGGCCCTCAGGTGGCAGTTAAAGGCCCCAAAGTGGACATAGAGGCACCTGGCCTAGAGGGGACGCTTACAGGTCCCAAGCTTAGCGGCCCTTCTGTGAAAACAGGGACCTGCAAGATCTCTATGGCTGACGTGGACTTAAATGTATCTGCCCCTAAAGTGAAAGGGGGCATTGATGTCACTCTTCCAAAAGCAGAGGGTCAAGTTAAAGCTCCTGCAGTTGATGTGAAAGGCCCCAAAGTGGATGTCAGTGGGCCAGATGTGGATGTTCACAGCCCAGAGTGGAACCTGAAAATGCCCAAGTTCAGCACTCCTGGAGCCAAAGTGGGGAGTCCAGACGTCAGTGCCAGTCTACCAAGAGGAGATGTCGGCATTTCCGGGCCCAAGGTCAGCGTGGAAGCCCCGAATGTGAACTTTGAGGGCCTGAGAGGCAAACTTAAAGGCCCTGAGGTTAAGCTGCCCGAAGTGAGCGTCAAGACACCAAAGATCTCCGTGCCTGATGTAGATCTGCACGTCACAGGTACAAAAGTGAAGGGGGCATATGATGTAACAGTGCCAAAGCTCGAAGGGGAACTGAAAGGCCCCAAAGTGGACATTGACGCCCCCGATGTGAAACTTCATGGCCCAGATTGGCATCTGAAGATGCCCAAGATGAAGATGCCCAAGTTTGGTGTGCCAGGGGTCAAAGCAGAGGTCCCTGAAGTGGACGTGAGCCTGCCTAAGGCCAATGTGGGCATTGCTGGGCCCCAGGTCGATGTTGGTGCGCCAGATGTGAGCATCGAAGGACCAGAAGGGAAATTGAAAGGACCCAAGTTTAAGATGCCTGAGATGAATGTCAAAGGTCTAAAGGTATCGGTACCTGACGTAGACTTACACTTGAAAGGCCCCAGAGTAAAGGGAGAGTATGATGTCACCGTGCCAAAGGTTGAAGGAGAGATTAAAGTTCCTGACGTTGAACTTAAGAGTGCCAAAATGGACATTGATACTCCAGATGTGAACCTTCAAGGCCCAGACTGGCATCCAAAGATGCCCAAAATGAAAATGCCCAAGTTCAACATGCCTGGTTTCAAGGCAGAGGTCCCAGAAGTGGACGTGAACCTGCCCAAGGCTGACGTGGATGTTTCAGCACCTAAAGTGGATGTTGACATTCCAGATGTGAACGTCGAAGGACTTGATGGGAAGTTGAAGGGTCCCAAGTTTAAGATACCTGAGATGAACATCAAAGCTCCCAAGATCTCCATGCCAGGGGTGGATTTGCATGTGAAAGGCCCCAAGGTAAAAGGAGAATATGATGTTACTGTGCCCAAACTAGAAGGGGAGCTGAAAGAGCCACATAGAGACATCAGTGCCCCAGATGTGGCGGTTCATGGTCCTGATTGGAACTTGAAGATGCCAAAGATGAAAATGCCCAAATTCAGCATGCCCAGCCTCAAAGGAGAGGGCCCAGAAGTGGACGTGAACCTACCCAAGGCTGATGTGGACATTTCTGCACCCAAAGTAGATATTAGTGCTCCAGACGTGAGCTTTGAAGGCCCAGAAGGGAAGCTGAAAGGCCCCAAGTTCAAGATGCCAGACATGCACTTCAAGGCCCCCAAGATGTCTCTTCCAGATGTTGACCTGGATCTTAAAGGACCCAAAGTGAAAGGCAATCTAGATGTGTCTGTACCAAAAGTAGAAGGTGAGATGAAAGTTCCAGATGTGGACATCAAAGGACCCAAGGTAGATATTAAAGCACCAGATGTAGATGTTCAAGGTCCAGACTGGAGCCTGAAGATGCCCAAGATGAAAATGCCCAAATTCAGCATGCCCAGCCTCAAAGGAGAGGGTCCAGAAGTGGACGTGAACCTGCCCAAGGCTGATGTGGACATTTCTGCACCCAAGGTAGATATCAGTGCTCCAGATGTGAGCCTCGAAGGCCCAGAAGGGAAGCTGAAAGGCCCCAAGTTCAAGATGCCAGACATGCACTTCAAGGCCCCCAAGGTCTCCATGCCAGATGTGGACTTAAACTTGAAAGGTCCTAAAGTCAAAGGAGACGTGGATATTTCTGTGCCCAAGATAGAAGGTGAAATGAAAGTGCCAGATGTGGACATCAGAGGCCCCAAAGTAGATATCAGTACACCAGATGTGGATGTCCATGGTCCAGACTGGAACTTGAAAATGCCTAAGATAAAAATGCCCAAGTTCAGCATGCCTGGCTTCAAAGGAGAGGGCCCGGAAGTGGACGTGAACCTGCCCAAGGCTGACATTGACATCTCAGGACCCAAAGTGGACATTGAGGGACCTGATGTGAGCTTAGAGGGCCCAGAAGGGAAACTGAAAGGTCCCAAGTTTAAGATGCCAGACATGCACTTCAAGGCCCCCAAGGCCTCCATGCCGGATGTGGATCTAAATCTTAAGGGGCCCAAACTGAAGGATGATGTGAATGTGTCTTTGCCTGAAGTTGAGGGTGAAATGAAAATGCCAGATGTGGACATCAGAGGGCCTAAAGTGGACGTCAGTGCACCGGATGTAGATGT